CAAGGGAGAAGGAATTCAGGTAAACAAGCCAATCAGTAACAGGACAATAGGTTTGGGAAAACAAGTAGTGACAAGTCTCAACATGTTGGGGACAAGTCTCAACATGTTGGGGACAAGTCTCAACATGCTGTGCAGCATAGAGGCCTGTGGGAGCTGCAGTTGTCAATAGTGCAGCCATGTTTAAATGGCATATATCCCCACAATTAGTGGTGCTGAACAGGGAACTAAGGTAAAGAGATGACAAGTTCTGTTTCCAAGGGGTTATCTCTCTAATAAGGAGACAAACAAGAAAGGCATGGTTGCAATACAGATGAGAAATGCTATGATGGAGGGACACAGAAGGTGGTAAGTCAGGTATATTGGGTGGGTCTTGGGAAGCTTCCAAGAGAAAGTGGTGTTTTAATTGCACCTTAAAGGATGAGTGGATGTACATGAGGGGAAAGATAAGTGGGGGAGGGGTGCAAAGGGAGGAAGGCAGCACAGGGGAAGGTCTTTCTCAGCACAGGGAACCATTTGGGGGAACGCAGCCACTTCAGAAATTCCAAGTAAATAAGAATGTCAGGAGTTGAGGATGAACGCAGGGTGTGGTGGGAGGTCAGAGGAAGGCAGAGGCCATGAAGACATATCCAAATGATCGTCAACACTTTGAAGGCCATGCTTGGAAGTATAACCTTTCTCTTCCAGGTAAGAGACTTGGTGAAGGGTTTTAAGCAGATGAGAAACACATTTATATTAGTGGTTTAGACAGGGTGTGGTGACAGTTCGGAGGACAGGTTGGCAAAAGAGCAAGAGAAATGTCAGAGAAACCAGTTAGAAAGGTAGTGCAGTTGTCCAGGCAGGAGACAGTGAAGACAAACAGCGGTGACAGACAGGAGAAGCCAGTTTTGAGAGCCATTTAGGGTGCAGAATCAACATGATTCGAGAAGCCATTGGGTTTGGGAAGAGATGGAAATGGAGAAATCAAGCATGGCCAGTGTGGCGAGGGTTGCCCAGCAGGGAAGACCAGCTGTCCAATTTTGCACAGTTAATTTAATCACAGACAGGGACATCACGAGCCACTTTCCTGAAGCTCCAAATTATATTTCAGAACAGATATGAACAATTTCCTGTTAGAGATTGCCTTCTTTCAAAGGGAGGCCTTAACTTCCTAGTTACAAAAATATCTTTAAAGTACATTTAATCTACTTACAGTAAAATGATATTATGTTTGGTATTTTATGCCAAATAATCTGGTATAAATGAAGGTAGGTATAAATGAAACAAGATTGTCCAGAGGTTAATAATTGTCAAAGGCAGGTGATCATGGGGGCGGCTTATACTACTTACTTTTTTTTTTCTTTTTGGTGAAAACATACATAACAAAACACACACCCATTCTCACTTTACTTTTGTGTATATTTGCATAAAAAGTTTTAAATGTGTTAAAAATACATTTAATCTAATAGATAATAGATCGGTGGCATTGTATATGATACATAACGTTTAGAGAGAAGTTTGGCAATATTTATTTAGAATGATAAAATGTTTCATAACCCTTGAATCTGAATTCCTATTCTGGAAATTTATGCTAAGAAAATAGCTGAAATACAGTGAAGCAAGGGACAGAGGAGAGGGAAAGACAAAGACATCCTCTGAAAGACCAAAAAAAGGAAACTATTATGTCATGTATATGCAATAAAGTATTACACAGTTATTAAAATTATGCATACAGGTTATGCATGGAGGTTAATGGTGATAGAAAAATTGCATTGATTAAGGGTAGGGTTGCACAGCCGATTATTGTAATTGTTGTCAGTAAGTTGTATACCTGTTAAAAGTTGAACTGGCAAAAATGTGATGATATATTTACACTGACAAAAAAAAAAAAAAAAGAGTAGCTGCTGAGGCTGCCTATGCACAACCAAACACCTCAGGGGATTTGGTGCCTTGGTTTGGAGGTTTAGAATCATGGTTTCATGGACATCCCAGTTAACTGGCCTAATGTATTTAGTGCCTCTGTTCTATCTCCTAGTTTACTTGCAGGCGGCCATACAAGGCACAGTTGGTCTCTATTCACCTGCAGCAACAGAGGAAGAAGGAGAGTCGGGAATAGGAGCATATGGCGTGTGTGGCTAATTGCCTCCATGAACAACTGCCTCCTTTGCCATGAGACCAGAGGAACTGGTTGGTGATCGGCTACCGTTACTGAACATTTTGATCGAAGATTTCATAGAAGAATCCTGATCAAAAAGCGAAGAATGCAGAACAGAATTTCAAATTTTCATGGACTCTAGACTTTCTGGAGCCATGGAGGATGAATGAAACCCTGAAACTGTTGCCCTGAGATAATCTTTAAACTTTAAATCAAAAATATCCCATGAAGTCATCTTAACACCGAACAACAGTTCAGCTTAATTAGTAAAAAAGGCCTGCCTTGAGCATTGTGCTCTTTTAAGAACTATGGGATCAAAGTGACAATAGCAACTTGAAAGATTAGAAAGGAACCTTAGAGGGCACTGAGTTTGTGTTAATGAAGGAGGAACAGCTCAGTAAAGGAGGGTGAGAATGGTTGCACAACTCAAAGAATGTAATCAGTGTCACTAAACTGTACATGTAAAAACTGTTGAATTGGTGTATATTTTCCTGTGTATATTCTCAACAACAACAACAAAGTAAATAAAATTTAGAAGAAAATCAATTGAAAAAAACTACAAATAAAAAAAATTATGCATATGAACACATAGCAGTGTGGGAATTGAGAAACGTAAGAATATACTACAGAAGTAAAATCACAGCTCCACGTAAGGAAAGCTATTTGTTGTCATTAGCTGCCATCCAGTTGGCCCCTGACTCATGGTGACCCCATGCACAAGGGAATTAAACACTGCCCAGTCCCATGCCATCCCCATGATCATTTAGGGATTGGACCATCGTGATCCATAGAGTTTTCATTTGCTAATTTTCAGTAGATCACCAGGCCTTTCTTCCTAGTCTGTCTTAGTCTGGAAGATCTGCTGAAACTTGTTCAGCATCATAGCAACATACAAGCCTCCATGTAAGTTATTCCTATAAATACATGGCTGAATTAATTCGTTTATTCTACTTGGCTTTATTCATGACTGACTTTATTCAGATATCTGCTCAAATGCCACCAACTCAGAGACTCTTGCCCTCCAACCCCATCTAAAAGAGCACATTCAACTTATTGTTCTTCTCCTTATCCTCCTTTATTTTTTGTCCTAGCTCTTGTCCCCCCCCTGAAATTATATGCACATTTGGCTCTTTGTTTTTGTAAGATCCTTGTGTTCATGACTGTATTTCTAGCACTTAGAACAATGTCTGGCACATAGTAGACACTCAATAAGTGTTTGTTCACTGGCTGACAGAACACATAAATGGAAGCATATGAAAAAAAGACAAAAGAATCTTGAAAAATATAACAATTTGTGTTATAATGAAAGAAGATTTGGCAGTTCTCCATAAAGCTTCCTGAATGTTATTATTTTTTATAATCTAAGAGTAGCATTATGTAAAATGGTCAATGTTTTGTTTTATATATATATATATATATAATTTACCACAGTAAAAAAGTAAAATTAGAAGAATATTTAAAGCATTAAGTAACATAACAAATGTTTAGAACACAGACATATTACTTTCAGTTTAATGTGTAAGAGTTTTTAGGGGAAAACAGTATTCTAAAAAATAAATAATCAAGTAGTCAGAAGCTCACCAGGGTCTGGGGTGGTTGTCTCCTGTGTCCCATTGCTGGGTTGACAATCACTTGTCTCAAGGTCATTGCTCTCTCTTCTGCTTTCAGCTTTGGAGGACCTGAGTTTCGAGCCCTTGAATAATTTGTTGACAAATGAAGTCTGGGGTTTAGTCTCTTTCCCTGAGGAATTTTTCTTCTTTGTTTGATTCATGGTCAAGTTGAAGGTGTCTTTCTCAATAAGACATCTTCCTGTGTCTCTAGGATTTCTGAGAAGAAAATAAGACTCTGTCAAGGCCGTTTGAGATCAAAACTTCCTCCCCTACAGTTCTTTTCTTTCTTTTCTTTCTGTTTTTATCACTGGTAGTGTTTAATGTACTTATAAGAATGATGTAACCCAGGATCCGGGAACTAACAGATGGTAATAGATACAAATCCAAAGCAAATTTGAGTTTTTGACTTTACCCTCTTTTATTGTGTGAGATACAGACCAGTAAACACCACTTTGGCAAGAGCATCAAGTGTGTCAATACATTTAAATTTCAACAATTAGAATTACTGTCTAATAGACTTACATACATAAAGAAGGATTTAGAATGCCTCTAAGCTGAGTGGTGCAAATGTTAATGCGCTCAGCTGTGAACCTAAAGGTTGGAGGTTCAAAACCACCCAGTGGAGATTTGGAAGAAAAGCCCTTCAATTTACTCCCGAAAAATCAGCCACTGAAAACCCTATGGAGTACAATTCTACTCTGACACACATGGAGTCACCTTGAGTCAGAGTCGACTACATGGCAACCGCTGGTGGCGGTGGAAGCTGGACTGGCCTTATGCAAGCCTGTCACCAGGATGAATTTGCCTTCCGTGACACCAGCCTCCTATCTTGACATACCACTTCTTTTTTCTGTCCTGTAGTTCTCATGCTTTGCTTACTCCAGTTCTGCACCACCACCCAATTAAAAACATGTTCACAGTAAAGAATTCATTCATTCTATAAACATTTTTTAAGAAGCTACTGGGTACCCCACCATTCATCTGTCAGTGTTGTACTGTGGTGGCTGGCATGTAGCTGTGATGCTGGAAGCTATGCTACCGGTATTTCAAATACCAACAGGTTTACCCATTGTGGACAGGTTTCAGCGCAGCTTCCAGACTAAGACAAACTAAGAAGAAGGACCTGGCAGTCTACATCTAAAAAACATTGGCCAGTGAAAACCTTATGAATAGCAGCAGAATAATTAAAACAAAACAAAACAAAACAAAAAAACCAGTTGTAGCAGTACATCGACAGGGAACTGCCAGAAATTCAAGCCAGATTCAGAAAGGGAATGTGGAATGAGGGATATCATTGCTGATGTCAGCTGGATCTTGGCTGAAAGCAGAGAATACTAGAAAGATGTTTACCTGTGTTTTATTGGCTATGCAAAGGCATTCAACTGTGTGAATCATAACAAATTATGGATAACATTGCGAAGAATGGGAGTTCCAGAACACTTAACTGTGCTCATGAGGAACCTGTACTTAGACCAACAGGCAGTCGTTCAAACAGAACAAGGGGATATTGCATGATTTAAAATTAGAAAAGACATGTGTCAGGGTTGTACCCTTTCACCATACTTATTCAGTCTGTACTCTGAGCAAATAATCACAGAAACTGGACTATGTGAAGAAGAACACGGCATTAGGATTAGAGGAAGACTCATTAACAACCTGCGACATGCAGATGACACAACTTGCTTGCTGAAAGTGAAAAAGACTTAAAGCATTTACTGAAGAAGATCGAAGACTATAGCCTTCATTATGAATTAGACCTCAACATAAAGAAAACAAAAATCCTCACAATTAGACCAATAAGCAACATCATAATAAATTTAGAAAATATTGAAGTCGTCAAGGATTTCATTTTACTTGAATCAACACCTATGGAAGCAGCAGTCAAGAAATCAAACGACATATTTTGTTGGGCAAATCTGCTTCAAAAGACCTCTTTAAAGTGTTAAAAAGCAAAAGTGTCACTTTGAAGACTAAGGTGCACCTGACCCAAATCATTTCTTTGAATTATGATGTTGGTGAAGAATATTGAATATACCATGGACTGCCAGAAGAAGGAACAAATCTGTCTTGGAAGAAGTACAGCCCAAATGCTCCTTAGACGTGAGGATGAAGAGACTTCATCTCACATACTTTGAACACGTTATCAGGAGGGACCAGTCCCTGGAGAAGGACATCATGCTTGGTAAAGTCAGCAAAAAAGAGGAAGACCCTCAATGAGATGGATTGACACAGTGGCTGCAACAATGTGGCCATGCCACCAAACATGGCAACGATTGTGAGGATGGCACAGTACCGGGCAATGTTTTGTTCTGTTGTACATCAGGTCATTATGAGTCGGAACTGACTCAATGGCACCTAACAACAACATTGCGTACCAGACGTGGTTCTAGATGCAAGAGAATCAATAATGAGCAAGACACAGTTCATGTGTTTGATGGAGTCTTAAATCTGGGGGAGGATGGACCTATATGCCAATGATTATTCTGGGATAAGGGCTTTCAGAAAGCAGAGACCAAAGCAGTCAGGGAAGCCATAGTGGGACTAAGCCTGCCGTAGAGAACAAGCTGTGAGGAATGAATGGTATTGCCTGGGTGTTGAAATAATAGCAGTTAGTTAAGGAACACCTGGGTGGCACAAAGAGGTCAGCTACTAGTGGAAAGGTTGGAGGTGTGAGTCCATCCAAAAGCATGTGGGAAGAAAAGCCTGGTGATCTGCTTCCTAAAAATCAGCCATTGAAAACCCTGTGGAGCACAGTTCTGTTCTGACATGCATGGCTTCGCCATGAGTTGGAATCGACTCAACGGCAACTGGTTTAGGAGTGAGTTAAAAAGACGAGATGAAAAGTCTTCGCAGGCAGAAGAAATAGTAGGCTCAAAGGTTGGAGGCATGAAGGCCTGAAAGAGTCTAGCATTAGACTTCAAGCATGAATTTTGGTTTGCCTGTAGCAAGGATGTGGGGAGACAGAGGTTAGAAGGTAGAGTGTGGTGCTATTTGAGGCTAAAAAAGATTTATAAAGTCAATCTATTATCCTTCCTGGGATTTGCTTACATTTTAAGCAAGGGCTAAAGATTTAAACTAAAGGTATAAAACTGTAAATGGAATTTCAGATCTTGTAAATAGAATTTAGATCTTGTCCTTGGGCCAGGGTCTAATAGGTATTCTTGAAATTACAATGTTCATGGCTTTCTCCTAAAATGACTCTTTCTATAATACTATGTTCCAGAATGGCTGAAGAAGCATTCTGCACAGGGGCTCCTAAAATGATCTTGCAGAGCACCCCAAGCCTTCTGTGCTCTCCTAGTATTCTGAGGGGAGGGAGTATGTGTGGGGAGGTGTCCCTACACCTGGAGTCCAGCTTTGGGAGTCACAACAGGGCATCCCATTCTCTTTTTAAGTGGAAGAGAGCCCAGCCCATGTTTGCCCAGGAACAGAAAGCAATGGAACCAGACAGTTGCCCAGGCCGCAGTCCCACAGCTGACCAGAGCCTTAGGGGGTTAGGTGGGAAGGAGGAAGGAAGGACAATTAACTTGATTAGCTCATAAATCCAGCCACAGTCTGCAAACCCTGCTGCCCCACACTGATTCCACCTCCACCTTTTCCATTTGTGTGATCCTCCAGCCCCCACCCGAGGCCTGCACGGTCATTCTCACCTTTTGGAGATGTAGGCAGGGCCATTCTCTGGGGAGTCATCCAGTGAGTGATTTTACTTTTTTTTTTTTTCCTTGTATTGACTCCAACTCCTAAGTCCTAAGAAAACACTGGGTGGACCATGCTCCAGGATGTGGTAGTTTACCAAGTGAACCCCACCCAGCTCTGAGGCCCCACTCAGTGTCGTACAGATTAGTACACTAAAGAGGAGAAGTGGGAGGAGAGGGGGGAGGTACCCAGGGAAGGCAGGAAACAACACTGGAACTCAAGGAAGCAGATGAAAACCAAAACCAAACCAGTTGCCATAAACCCAGCTCCACAGGGTTCTCAATGGCTGATTTTTTTGGAAGTAAATCACCAGGCCTTTCTTCCGAAGTGCCTCTGGGCATACTCAAGAATGTTAGCAGCCAAGCACTTCACCATTTGTGCCACCCAGGAATTCAAGAAAACTAAAGAGGGAGCAAAAGAAAGGTGGGGAAGGGGAAAGGCAGAAAGGCCAGGAATGGAAGCTAAGCAAGAGGAAGCAACTGGGAAGCTGACAAGGAATAAAAAAAGGAGCAAGTATGAGGTAGGGAGGCTTATATATATATATAAATATATTTCTATATTTGTAGAAAGAAATATATATATAATATATGAATATTTCTTAATATATAATAGTTTAAGTAGTAGTGAGACAGATAGGGTTAACTGTGCTGGTGGAATAAAAGAGCTGTTAAAAGATTACTACCTAAAAGTTGGGTAAACAGGAACCACAGCCTGTCGACATAAAATAAGGTTAGAATAACCCATGAATTACTACTTCCTCCTTAGTGTTTTTGTAGTCCCTTTCCCCTTCTTAAAGGCTCCGCATGCACAGAACAAAGTGTGACCACTGTTTTGGCCCACCCAAGGGGGCGAAGAAGCGCAGAAGATCAGTGCCTGTGCCATAGCCCATATCCCATAATAAGTGATACTGAGAGCTGCCAAGGGGACTCCATCTTGAATATCAGTAGATTCCATCTTGGATTCCAGATGAGCGTGCAACTTAATTAGTATGCACTACCATTCCAAGAAGTACTCACCCCTTTGAAGAAACTCACTGAATATTCATTGCTCTATTGTCCCCACCGAACCGATATAAGCTCTAGCCTTGCTTCCCCTTGTGAGTCAGTCTTTTGGAGAGGCATGAGCCCCTACTGAGTCCTTTTACTTGTCACAAGTAAAATACACCTGTTAGAGCTGAACCCCAAAATTTTCTCCTCTGTGTATTCTTACAGGAGAAAGACAAGGACCCATTGAGTCCAGAGGGCCTCTGTGCCCTTGGCAGTAACAGTAGGTTGTCATGCTCACACGTTGAAAAAATAATCTTTTTTCAAAATGTGTTTGGGAGACTCCTCTTTAGCTGAAAACGTTCACAAGCACTCAAGCTTCCTATACCAATTCAAGCTTCAAACTCTGCTTAACACAGTCCTTCCATTTCTTTCCTATGTCTCTGCCCCTGATTTTACTTTGTGAAGATAAACCCTGAAGACTGAATTTGGG